ATTGCCACCCAAGTAGTCTTTCTTTTAAAAAAAGTGTTAATCGGATAGCATTCCTCTGTACAAACCCCTTTAATGGTTCCTTGCCATCTGTATGACAACCAAACTCCTGAGCATGCAAACTCCATGGTCACTTCCATTAAAGTGCTAAGAGCACTCCTTTCTCTCGTTTTCTCCAGATTTTATCCAAACAAAACTAATTATAGTTTCTCAAATGTATCCAGCTATGTCATGCCTTTATGTCTTTGTACCTGAATTGCTCTCCCCTATTTCACTTTGGTTATCTCACTATTTTATTGCTCACTAACCCAGCTATTATTTGGATATATATTTATCTCTTCTAATAGAATAAAATCTCATGACCAGAGACCATTTCTTATTTCTGAATTCTCCAAAAATAAGTGTCTGGTACACAGTAAGCATTCAATAAATGTTGCTGAATAAAGTCAAAATCATGAGCTCTCTATGAGTAAGATGTACTACTGCTTTTTAATCCACAATTCCCAAACCTCACATCCTCTGACCTTTATTCCAGTAATGACAGACCCTCTGTACCTTAATTTTATAGTCGTCTCCTCCAGAGACAAACAGTGGCTGCTGCTTATGGAAGTCAATGCCTCGGACTGGACCTGGAGAAGAAGGCAGGCAATATATGTTAAAGAGAGCTTTGCTTCCTAATCTCCAAGATGGTTCTTATTCATGATTTTTCAGTTCTATTCCCTCCACATTATTTAATCCTAAGACATTAATGTCAAACAAGGCTTAAACTACTCCAGAAGACAATACTTCTATCTTTAACTTCCCCCTAAAAACAATTATCTTACCATCATGTTCATCAAACTTGTCAATGAGGGTGCACATCCGATAGTCCCATAACTGGATGACCCCATTGTGTAAACTGGTCAGGATCCAGGGTCTTTTGGGGTGAAAACTGAGTCCTGGGGGAAAAAAGAAAATGGTCCAATGAGCTAAGCCCCAAATGTCACTTCCTGTCAATTCTGATAGAAAAAGGAACAGCTTAGGTTAATTCTACGTTCATTTATTCATTCACTGCTAGACATTGTGCATTTATGCCAGCCGTGGGCAAACTACGGCCCGTGGGCCGGATCCGGCCCGTTTGAAATGAATAAAACTAAAAAAAAAAAAAAAAAAGACCATACCCTTTTATGTAATGATGTTTACTTTGAATTTATATTAGTTCACACAAACACTCCATCCATGCTTTTGTTCCGGCCTCCGGTCCAGTTTAAGAACCCATTGTGGCCCTCGAGTCAAAAAGTTTGCCCACCCCTGATTTATGGTATAAGATCCTGGATTTTTGTTACATGCCTTTAAATATTGTTGAGCTTTGTTTTATGATGCAGTTAAGTTATTTGGAATCAGTTAACCCTTTTGAGACTTGCTTTTAAGTTTTATAAAAAAATTTTAATTTTTTTTTTATTGATTTCAGAGCGGAAGAGAGAGGGAGATAGAAACATCAATGATGAGAGAGAATCACTGATTAGCAGCCTCCTGCACACCCCACACTGGGGATCGAACCCACAACCTGGGCATGTGCCCCGACCAGGAATTGAACCGTGACCTCCTGGTTCATAGGTCGATGCTCAACCACTAAGCCACACCGACCAGGCTGCTTTATTAGTGTGGGTCCACAGTAGCCTTTAGTGTACGTCTAATCTGACACTACTATTAAGGCAATGCCCTGCTGAGGTCTTTGTGTGATGCCTTGTAGTTCTCAGAGGTCTCTCCATCTTGTCTAGTAGGAACACAAACTATTCCCAGCCCTACGTGAGCTCCAGGGAGTGCTGCCTTCTTTTCTCCAGTGGTTCTTTTCCAGGCCTTGGGTCCTTTCCTCACATGCATTAGTACTCAAAGGCCTAGCGGGATGCCCTGCAGAACTCAGGTGTTCTCTGAGCACCTCCCTCTTTTCTGGTATTTTGCCCAGCAAATTCTAGCTGTCTTGTCTTCCCTGAACTCTAAACTCTGCCCTCCTCAGTGAGGCCACGGGCTCTGCCCCCTCCCTCCACTGCAGCCTGGGAACTCTCCCAGGTAGTAAGCTAAACGCCATCATAGGAATCATCTTGTTTATTTCCCTTCTATCAAGAATCACTTTCCTGCAGTGGCTGTCATCCAATGTCTGAAATTGTTTTATACATTTTGTTCAGGTGTGCGGTTGTTTAAGGTGGGAAGCTAAACCTGGTCCCTATTACTCCATCATGACTGGAAATGGAAGTTTAAGGAAGTAACAACTGCTAACTGTTTAGAGTGTATTCTTTCCAATTTTTAATGCAGACCATACACTTTATGAAAATGAAGGTAACAAAGTTTCCCTGAAAACTTCTTTTTAAAAATATATTTTATTGATTTTTTACAGAGAGGAAGGGAGAGGGATAGAGAGTTAGAAACATCGATGAGAGAGAAACATCAATCAGTGCCTCCTGCATACTCCCTACTGGGGATGTGCCCGCAGCCAAGGTACATGCCCTTGACCGGAATCAAACCTGGGACCCTTCAGTCCTCAGGCCGATGCTCTATCCACTGAGCCAAACCGGTTAGGGCCAAACTTCTTTTTTTAAAAAATTTATTTTATTGAATTTTACAGAGAGGAAGGGAGAGAGAGAGTTAGAAACATCTATGAGAGAGAAACATCGATCAGCTGCCTCCCGAACAACCCCTACTGGAGATCAAGCCCGCAACCAAGGTACATGCCCTTGACAGGAATCGAACCCGGGACCCTTTACTAAGTAGTCCGCTGGCCAACGCTCTATCCACTGAGCCAAACTGGTTAGGGCCAAACTTCTTTTATTAGTTAACTATTTATCGTGCGTTTCATTATATTTAAGTACATATAAACAAAACCTCATTCTTTTTAACAACCAAAAGGTACAAATGTGCCATCTTAACATGACTCTAATGATGGGCAGTAAAGCTTTTCCCCTTCACTTTTATTCTATCAGAAAACAGGGCCAAATTGAGACACTTCCAAATATAGCCTATTTGCATTATTATTGCTTTATAAAGACCTAGAAATGGGATTGATAGATACTATTTGACTATATATATATATATATATATATATATATATATATATAGTCTTTTTGACCATATATATATGGTCATTTTCTAAAAGTACCCATTTTGCACACATTAACCATGTAATCAGTTACTTGTTTTGTTTATTTTACTAATCTAAGACTCAAAAATAAAGGTTTTCTCACTTTCTTTTTTACACTTTCTTTCATTACTAGTGAGGTGTATAATATTTTTGTTTTATTTTTAAATCCTTTATCAAGATTTAATTCTCTCTTTTAAAAATTAGTTTACATTCAATACTGTTTTGTATTAGTTTTAGGTGTACAGTGAGGTGTATAACATTTTCATTTATTTATTGAACATTTCTTCTCTAAATGGGTATTTTTTTCATGAGTTTGTTCACTTTTTTCCTGTATGATACATAGGAACACTCATGAATGGATATTCACTCTCAAATATTATGACACCTTTCCTTCTCTCCCCCCTCCCCCACTTTCCTTCTCTACTGCCCAATAAAAAATTAGGAGCAGAACAGAAAATACAATGATTATAAAGACCCATTTCAGCCACCCAGGAATTTTTAATGGTACTCATCGTGATCACGTTCTCACAAGATTTAGAAACTGCTCAGCATCTGTTCTCACCTCAAAAGTGCCCTCTGGGTTTTGAGCCCGAGTCTATGCCAGGCACTGTAACAAGCACTTTTCACATACTTTCTCATTAGTAATTCTGTCTGTATTAGAATGTTAATTACTCACACCTTACAGCTGAGGAGAGACTTAGAAACGTTAAGTAAGGCGCCCCGCGTACTGCATCTTTCCACACCCGAAGCAAGCCCATCCGACTCCACAGGCTAAGTTCCTACCCACCTTGCCGTGTGGCATCTAACTGAACAGTCAAGATACCTATTTCTCCCAAATTGCAGAAGCCCTTACTTCTCCGCCTTCCCCATCCTAACGTTCTGAGAGACCACCTGCCCTCCAGCCCATCATCCACTGACACTCAAGCTCTAGGCTTGCCATGTTTAGGGAATAAAGATGCCCAGTTAAATCTTCATTTCAGAGAAACCGCGAACAATACCAGAAAGGTGTTCACTGTTCATCCGGCAACCCCAGCAAGCTCAGCCTTTGCTGGGGTTACAGGCCTCTATGTCCTGCTTCCAGGTGAGGAATGACAGCCAAAGGAGGCGCTCGGGGTTGAGCGGGTGCGGCCCCGGCCTCCTTAAGAGGGGCGGCCACTGCTCATCTCCGGGGAGGCTACCGACTCGGATACGAACAGACTTGGATACGAAGAGCAGAGGTCGAGACTCGATCGCCCGGGACACTCCCTCCAACACGGCCCTCAAAAAGCCGGCGGGGTTTGCAGGTTCAATTCCCGGTCAGGGCACATACAGGAATCAATCAATGAATGCATACATAAGTGTAATAACACATTATGGCACTCTCTCACTCTCCTTCTCCCACTTCCTCTCTCTCTAAACTCAATCAATCAATAAAAAATTAAAAAAAAAAAAGCCGGCAGGTTGCTGGGCCTTGGGAGCTGGACACGGCCCGGGGTGAGGAGGGGAAGGGAGAGAACAGGGAAGGGGCCTATAGGTGATCAAACTGCAAGGAGATCGCACAAGCAGAACCGGCTGGAGGGCCGCCCGCCGACCTAACCGCCCTCCCGTCCCCCTTCCCCTGGGTCCGCACCTAGGCCACTCGGGCCCACACGCCGGCCCGCTCTCCCCCGTGACAGCGCCGCCCCGACACCCAGCCCCCCGGCTCCACTACCTTTGACCCGCGCGCTCTTGGTCTCGAATTTGGTTAGCATCCTGCAGGCCCGCGGCTCCCAGGTCCGACCCGCGCCCCGCCACTCCCCGCCGCCCCGCAACAGCCTCCACGTCAGCTGCCCGCTGCAGCGTCCGCGGCTCCCGGAAGTTCCCGCGGACACGAACTTCCGGTCCCTGCCGCTCCTGGCCACCGAGACGGCGCCAGGGTGGCCTAGAGAGGCCACTGCCGGGCGGAAGGGAGCCGAGGCTTCCGGTCCGCCGAGGCGCAAGATGGCCACGGCTGGGGGCGGCTCCGCGGCTGAGCTGGGAAGTCGGGGTCTTCTGCGCCTGCTGTCTTTCTGCGTCCTCCTGGCAGGTGAGGCGTCCCCGACCCGTGAGCTCCACTCTGCGAGGAGAACCTTCCGGTCGGCCTCCTGGTTCCCGCCGCCCCGCCGTCCTCCCGCCCTGGAAATCCTCTTTCTCTTTCGTTCCCACGACAGAAGTTCCCCTTTCCCGGGACCTGAAGGTCCCCCCTGCCCCGTGCCTCGTCGGGTCGCCCCAGGTCCTCCTGCAGGCCACCGCCTGGACTCTCACTTGATCCGGATGCCTCCTTTCCCCAGGTCCCCGGCCACCCCACCCACAATCAAGAAGGACAGGTGTCAGCTTAGCTTCCTCCCCAAGGCGTTTAGACGTTTCAAGGTGAAAGCAGCCGTGTTTCGTGGGGACAGGGCAGCGCTTTTAGGAAACTAGATCCCTCGTTTGTTTCTCTGTTGATTCCACCATCAACCCGCGTCCCTGTGCTTTGCCTCAGTTCGTCAAGCCTTAAAAATGCAAACGTGCCTGTGTATAACCATGACCACGCCTTCCCCCAAATCCATATTGGTTCCCAAGATCCCCAGAGGAGAAACTATAGCCGCCCCACACTATGCGCACATAAATCAGCCAGTGGCGCTGGATGAACTGACAGGTGTGTGGCATAGGTTTTCTCCCCATTCTTCTCGTGCGTGTCCTTGCGGTTTGATACACCTGTAGTAGGTCTCCCCTCAGGAGGCCCCTGAGGCCAGTTCCCTGTTCTTTCCCTTTCCTTTCCCTCCTCACCAGGGACTGTGTCCAGCTCCCAAGGCCCTGTAACTTGTGGGCTTTTTGATGACCTTGTTGTAGGGAGTGTCCCCCGGGAGAAATGAGTCTCCACGTTTGCTCTTCGTATCCGTATCCAAGGCGGTAGCTTCTCCGGAGATGAGCAGAAAAGTAGAAATGTGGTCACCCATGCAACCAGAAGCTGGTACATCTGAGGCTAAAGGCCTTTCCTTTGACAAATGAAGTTTTCTCTCTTTTAGCTTCACTGTCCGTTGCTCTATGTAATAAGCACATAGCTGGGTGTCCCAATAATGTGCCCAAGAAGTGAGAAGAGTAGACATTAGTCCTGTTTCAGACAGTATGATATATCCAGGCCATACAGTGAGCTAATGACAAGATGGAGGCTAGTGCTCTCATCTCTCAATTTTTTTCTAACACTTTTTATCTTCTGATCAGGTTTGTGTGGGGGAAACTCCGTGGAGAGGAAGATCTACATCCCTTTAAATAAAACAGCTCCCTGCGTCCGTCTGCTCAATGCCACTCACCAGATTGGCTGCCACTGTGAGTTGAGGTTGGGACTTGTGTTTGTGGCTGTGGATATTTCAGACTGTGGCCTAGATGTAAAGATCTAAGTCCTGCTTAGAAGTCTCAGCACACAAATTAAGCTATGTGGGTGGGAGGTGGTAGAGAACCACTTGTCAAACCAGGCAAGATAATTAGGAAGAGTTAACATCTAGTAAATGCTGCATACTAAACTTCTTAAACATGCATCTCATTTCATCTTCATGACGTAGCTACTATTATTATCTCATTTTACAAGTGATGAAACTGAGACTTAAAGAAGTTGAATAACTTTTCCAAGGTCATCCTGCTATTAAGTGATGAAGCCAGGATTTGAGTCCTGGTGGTCCAGGGTCTAAGCCAGGACTCTTAACCACCCAGTAGGTTAAGTAGACAACTATGCTGTTTTCTAAGGAGAAAGACATTTCATATTCAATGGAGCAGTCAGCACCTGCCCTCTGAATGATCTTTTGGGAACCAAAATGGCCTTTTACAGGCAATAAACTATTTGAAGGGAAGGCATTGAGAAAGCCATATAATTGCAAGACGAATTAGTAAAGCATTTGAATTTGCCTTCAGACTTTGTAAATGTGTTCCAAAACAGGGTACTGTGACAACATGGTTACAAAACTATGAAAGGGGGAAAAAATTGTGGTCTAAAGGTTGAATCCCAGTTCCCCTTCTGCTTAACCTGCTGTCTTCAGATTTTGTTCTGGGGGTAGTAAGTAGCTCTGTCAGGTTGCTTTTCAGGTAAGCAGGAAACAGAATCAGATCTTGGCTCCTTCATCATCAAATTGGTCACCTTTGAATTTCACTTCTATAAAAACAGTTAGCATATACCTGCACAGAGCTTTAATAGATGTTTATTGATGATTCTGAGTAAGTAGTGTGCTCTCAACAGTACTGTGATTTCCTGAAACCTTTCAATTTGATAGGAGATCAGTGAAACAGTTGCTCAAGGCGACAGTTACTACTTTTCTACCCAATCCTTCCCTGAGCTATACTCCATGTTCACTGTCCCATGTCTCGGCTGCAGGAGGTGCTGGGAGTAGGTTAACTGGTTCCAAATAAAATTTTTGTTGGACTTAGTTCTTAAACGGGTCTGTGGGTAGAAGACAGCCAGCTCCGCTGTGGGCTAAGCTTAGACTATCCTGGAGCTGGCTTCCAAGATATCACCTTTGGGAATGAGTCATTCTGCTGCAGGCTCTTAGAGCAGCCCTGTGGGAAGCAGAGCAGTAGCCAAGTGCCAGTGCGGAGAAACGAGCGGGGAGGAGCTGGACTCTGGCCATTTCCTCATTAAGATCTTGTGTCCTTTTCAACCTACTCATTTGTAAGCCTTCCTTCATCATATCTGTATGTCTTTAATTAGGGTTGCTAGCAGGATAAAATTAAGGAGAAATGGCCAAAACCGGTTTGGCTCAGTGGATAGAGCATCGGCCTGCGGACTGAAGGGTCCCGGGTTTGATTCCGGTCAAGGGCGTGTACCTGGGTTGCGGGCACATCCCCAGTAGGAGATGTGCAGGAGGCAGCTGATCGATGTTTCTCTCTCATCGATGTTTCTAACTCTCTATCTCTCTCCCTTCCTCTCTGTAAAAAATCAATAAAATATATTAAAAAAAAAAAAAAAAAAAAGGGTGTGTACCTGGGTTGGGTTGCAGGCACGTCCCCAGTGGGAGATGTGCAGGAGGCAGCTGATTGATGTTTCTCTCTCATCAATGTTTCTGACTATCTCTCTCCCTTCCTCTCTGTAAAAAATCAATGAAATATATTTAAAAAAAAATTAAGGAGAAATGGACCCAGATTTGATTTTCTGATTATAATGCTCTGTTTCTGTTGGACCATTTTAAAGTACTCAAAGGGCGTATGTAGGTGTTTTTTGTGTTTTTTTTTTTTTAGTTCCTTCTTTTCTTTCCTTTTTTTCATGTGTCCCCACAGTATGAGATAAATAGGAGTTAAAAAACTTCTCACTGAAGGCCCAGAGAAAATAAGCAAGTTATTTAAAACTACATAGTCCCTCACTGGAACCCAGGTTAGAATCCAGGTGTTTGAAGTTCAATGTCATAGCTTATCTTCTTCCTATACCGGGTGAGTGCTCCTGGCTGAGGGTGACCAGCGAGGGTCTTTGGAAACCCTAGGTCCCCAGAAATGAGGGGAATCACTACCAGCACATCCCTAACCCACTTAAGGCCCATCAGTGAGGAGACTGTTCAGAAGACCTCAGAGTTCTTGATGAACTTTACCTAAAACTGGCCAAAAGCAAGTAAAGCTCCTCTCAAATGGGGCAAAGGAATGAAGGTCTAGGGAAGCTACTGAGGCCAATGGGTTCTGCACATGTTTTCACAAAGGAAGATTCGGTGGCAGAACAATGAACTAGAGATTTTGAGCCTGCCATTTTCTGGAGAAAATACGGGTTTGAACACTGTATGTCTGCTGTCCTAGAATCTTGTATATTTGGCTAAATGAGGTTGAAGGAAGAAAGCAAGAAAATGAAGATGAGTGAACAAGGCCTCCTGAGGAGACTTCTTGGGCTCTTTTGTTCTCCGTTCCCTCCTGGTAGTCCTCAGGTGGAGCGGGCCTTTCAGCTCTTTAGTTCAAGTCTAGACATGGCTGCATTAACCCAAATGTCTTGTAACGTGTTTGGGGATAGATGATCTGCAGAGCCAGTGAGGCAAAGTCAGAATTGTCACCTGTGGGAGCTTTAATGTGAGCCATTCTGTCCTGGCAGCTTCCATTAGCGGGGACACAGGGGTCATCCACGTAGTGGAGAAAGAAGAGGACCTGCAGTGGGTGCTGACTGATGGCCCCAACCCCCCTTACATGGTTCTGCTGGAGGGCACGCTCTTTACCAGGTAAAAACTGTTGTGTCTGCTGGAGACTGCATGCAGAGGGGGTGATTCAGGGGCAGTCCCACACTGTGAGTGACAGCCTCCCTTGGCTTCCCTGGTCTGGTCAGGACAGGGGGTGGGGTGCTCCTCACAAGGAAAGGTCACTGTCAACAGGAATTACCTCGGTGACCTTGTAAGTAGAACTCTAGTGAGTAAGGACCCCAGGGAGGAAGGAGGGGTGCTCAGGGTCACACAAACACAGGGTAGATGAGATTGAGCCCTGAGCTCAGATTGGGTCATGGTCCTCTCAGAAGTTAGAGGCTGAAAAGGCAAGAAGTGAGTCAACAGTTTGATTTCCCTGATTCCCATTTGTTTTCATCCTGGGGGGGCAGGATATTGGGCTGCCTGATGAACTTCCTGTCTTCCTTCCTGTCATTCCCTCCTGTTAGGAAGGTGATGGAGAAGCTGAAGGGGAGCACCAGTCGAATTGCTGGTCTCGCAGTGTCCTTGGCCAAGCCCAGTCCCGCTGCAGGCTTTTCTCCTAGTGTGCAGTGTCCCAACGATGGGTTTGGTAAGAGCCCGAAGGATCTTCAGAGCCTGCTGTCACCCAGAGCTCATTGTTGCATCAGTCTTGTGTCTTTGTGTGTGTGTTTGGGGGTGAGGGTGGGGAGGTAATCTGTGTGTAGCGTGAGCAACTGACACCCAAACAGAGGTAGTGTTTCTTGGTCTTTGCCATTCATCCCTTCCCCCTCCTGCCTCCCCTTCTTCCACTGACCTTCCATTCTTGTTTCTTGTCACATGCTTAGACCCCTACTTGGCCAGCCTAGGGCTCCCTGATACCGGTGCCTGTTTTATTGTGGGTGGTGACAGGTTGATGCTTGCTTCTTTGGGTTCCCCTCTTTTGGAACTCTTAGTCCCGACCCTATAATATCTGAGCCTTCGCTGGTCCTTAAGTGCTTGTGTCCCAACATCCTATGCCCCCTCCTCCTCTTCAGGCCTTTACTCCAACTCCTACGGGCCAGAGTTTGCGCACTGCAGAGACATACAGTGGAACTACCTGGGTGACGGCTTGGCTTATGAAGACTTTAGTTTCCCCATCTTCCTTCTTGAAGATGAAAATGAAACCAACGTCATCAAGCAGGTAACGACTCTGCCAGCTCCTAGCAATTCCAGGTAGGAAGAAGGCTTTCTTAGACTCTCCTCTTGTTTGGAGGGACTCTCATTCCACTAGTGCACCCTCTGAAAGACATTTGCTTCAAGAAGAGCCAGGAAATTTATTTTTCTTACATTCCCCTCCCATTTCTCTCCCGCCTTTCCTGCATTAAGGGGTTTAGACTGGAAGAAAATGTAAAGGATATTTAATATGAAACAAGGTATAAAGCCCTGGTTAAGAACCCCTAGTATGATCAAAACAGCATTGGACTAGGAATTGAGAGATTCCGTTCAGTAATGTCTGAAGTTCTTTTCAGCTTTAATATTCTCTAATTCTAGTCTAGCTTCTTCATTTTAACAACAGAGCAGTTAGATTCATCCAAAGTTACATGGTCAGATGATGTCCAAACTGTCTTGAATTTGATGTTAGATTTCCAGTCCTGGGTTCCTTACATCAAATCACATTAAAACAGTGGCTGATGCAGGTCATTTGATGCAGGTTAATTTCATCTGCTCCCAACTAAGCCATTGAGACTGTGCCCCTTCACAACTCTCCGTGAGTTTTTCTTTGACCTTATAGATCCTGCGGTTGCACCGGACAACTGTAACTCCGGGAAGGCGTGGGAGTGGCTTCAGGATAGAGCTGGGCCTTCCCCTTTCTGGGAAGTATGGGCGGGACTCCCAGCCAGCTGCCTCAGTGGGTCCCTCTCCCCTTCTAGTGCTATCGAGATCACAACCTGAGCCAGAACGGCTCCGCACCCGTCTTCCCGCTCTGTGCCATGCAGCTCTTCTCACACATGCACGCGGTCCTCAGCACTGTCACCTGCATGCGGCGCAGCTCTATCCAGAGCACCTTCAGCATCAACCCAGGTAGGACTGGACCAAGGCATGCTGGGTGTACTGGGTGCAGGTGAGGGACCAGCATGTTGGGAGGCCTGGGGGGGAGGAGTGGGCACAGGCAGCGAGCACTGGTGGGAAGAGTAGGAACCATTCTCAACAGTCATACCTTGTCCCTAAAGTGGACAGTGGCAGAGAAACCAACGTGGAGCAGTGGGGAGAGAGAAGGTGACTGACAGGCCATGGGGCACTGGTCTGAGGCGCCTCCCATACCTGCTGTTGTTTACCTATAAGTCCCTGACACCAGCTGATGTCTCGCTGTCTGTGTCCTGCTCAGAAATCGTTTGTGACCCCCTGTCCGACTACAACGTCTGGAGCATGCTTAAGCCTATAAATACATCCGGGACACTGGAGCCTGATGACAAGGTTGTGGTTGTGGCCACCCAGGTGAGCGCTGGCCCTGAGCGAGGTGGGCGGGGCTGGCACAGGAAGGGCAGGCAGGCCTCGGTTGCCGTGGCAGGTTTCAGAGTTCTACGGTGGGAGCCTCCAATGGAGAGGGACCTGGGCTGGGGAACTCGCTTCGGCACATGAGTGTTCACTTGACTGAAACAGGGGGGTGGGGGCGCTAGGCCTGGTCCTCATTTCCATGTTCAAAGTGTACCTCCCTGCCTTCTCCGCTGGACCCAGCTGGACAGTCGTTCCTTTTTCTGGAATGTGGCCCCAGGGGCTGAGAGTGCTGTCGCCTCCTTCGTCACCCAGCTGGCTGCAGCTGAAGCTTTGTACAAGGCGCCCGACGTCACCACCCTGCCCCGCAACGTCATGTTTGTCTTCTTCCAGGGGGTAAGGGCTCTGGCCTGAGTGAGATGGCCAGGAATGGGGGTGGAGGAGAAAGGTGGGAGTGGCCACCATTTGGGGAAGATCTCAATACCTAAGTTGTTATTCAGCAGAGAGCTTCTGGATGTGCCTACAAGTATCTCCCCTTCAGAGACCCCTATTTAAGGAGGGCTCTGCATGCTGACCTGGAAGTGGTGTACTGCCCACCCGCCCTCCCCCACTGATTCCATCTACTAGAGGCATTCTCCTACTTTTATTCCCTTTACTGTCACCTCCACTCAGGAGCCCTAAGGCTCCTGACTCACCCCCCGCCCCCCGCCCCAGCCTGGCCCTGGACTAAGGAACAGCAGCTGTGGATGAGTTGGTGGAGATATGGAAGGGGCAAGAAGCAGCACATAGCAGCTGATGCTTGCCTCAGGCCTTACTGAGGCTGCTCTACCCTTTTTTAGGCTCAAAAAATCATGTGATACATACATGTGGGGGAGAGTCATAGCTGGGAAGGGGGGTAGGGAGGAGGAAAGCCACATGATTGCAAAAGCTAGCCTGCAGCTGAGATGCCATGAGACAGTGGCCTGATCTAGCCTCATGAGAGCTCTGATCTAGTCTCGAGGAGTCCAGGCTGCCCTAACCCTTGGGAATCCCTCTGTTCCCTTCCCCGCCCGTCTCTGCCCCCCAGGAAGCGTTTGACTACATTGGCAGCTCGAGAATGGTCTATGACATGGAGAGGGGCAAGTTCCCTGTGCAGTTAGAAAACATCGACTCGTTCGTGGAGCTGAGACAGGTGTGCAGCATGTGTCCTCGCCCCTTCCTTTCTCCTCAAAGGCCCCTCGTTTGTTCTGTTGTCCTCACTGCAGGTACCACCTCCTCTCCTCTTGACTTCTCTTTTGATCCCACTCCTTTCTCCCACACGGCAGACTGATGGTAAGTGTTGCCTCTTCATCCTTCCCCCAGGTGGCCTTACGAGAGTCACTAGAGCTTTGGATGCACACAGATCCCGTGTCTCAGAAAAATAAGTCCGTCCAGAGCCAGGTAACCTGAGCATCTCTCCCCTCACTTCCATTTTCAACAGCTCAGAATATGGGCACCTCCTTGCCCTGGCCCTCTCCCCAACAGCCCCCCGGGCCTGGGAGACAGGGCCTGAAGCTGGGTGTTGGTTGAAGGGTGAACACCACGGCTGCTACAGCTCCCCGGCAGGAACCATGAGCTCAGCTCCTGTCACTGGTTCCATGGGGCGGTCGTTCTCTGATCATTTGGCGCCTCGCAGCTATTGCTGCCCATTGAGGACAGAGCAGTGACTGGCTCCCTTCTCTCATTGCTGCCCCCTCCACCCCCCCAGTCCAGTTGTCCAGGCCGTGCTGCCGCATTCCGGTCATGTCAGACTTCCAACCCAGAATGTCCTCCACTTTCCTCACTACTTGTTCAAGCTCCTACTTCCTCTCAACGCCCAGCCATAGGCCTCTTTTTTCCATGAGGCCTCTTCCTGCCGTTGCAGCTTTAGCGTTATCCCTGCTCCGAGCTTCTACAGCCCTTACCACCTGGATTCCCTGTTTTGTATTATTTGTCCCTGCAATTCTGCACAACAAATAAGCGAAGCTTTTACTGAGGATAAGACAGAGTTCTGAAGACAGTAGGGTTTACCTGTAAATATGAAAAACACAGGCCTCTCCCTCATTAGGCCATAATTTTAAAAGGATGGTAGGAGTTGCAGGAGATTCAGGAGGCCTTAATCCCAAAATGCTTGAGGAATTTAGATCTAGGAGGGCTTAAGGCAACTCCCCAAGCTGGGGGCTTGAAGTAGGGTGCATTTCAGGTCTAAAAGGCCTCCCGCTTGCCTTTCCCCAGCCTCCCCTGAGTTAACCCCCCCACCCCCAGGTGGAGCACCTCCTGACCGCACTGGAGGAGAGTGGTGCCGGCGTTCCTACCGTCGTCCTCCGGAGGCTGAACCAGTCCCAGCCTCTCCCACCATCTTCTCTGCAGCGATTTCTTCGAGCTCGAAACATCTCTGGTGTTGTGCTCACTGACCATGCTACTGTCTTCCATAACCGGTAAGAGGGACCTAGCGTGCCTCCTCTTCCTTCCCAGAGAGTCTGTGCTGCAGTCAGGGTCCACAGAGAGAGATGTCTTCTGTGTCAGAAAGATCACTGCTCGCCCCTCTCCCCACCCCACCTCTCCAAAGCCTCCCTTTGTGTTCTTTGTTCAGTGGCTGACTTCTATGTCCTGGTCCCCTCATTTGACTTGATGTTCATCTTGAAAACAGTTTTCCCCTTAGCCCTTTCCTGCTCATTCGTCCTTGCTTATGATTCCACTTCCTTTAGGCTCTCTGGGGGCCTGACTTCCCCAGGGCTGCCGGCAGAAGGCGTCATCTCAAGAGCGCTGGTATGATGAGGGGGTTCTCAAGGTGTAGGACGGAGAGCTGTCCCTGTCTGGGGCCCACCCAGGCTGCCGCAGACCATACTCTGAAATGCCACATGTTCTTGCCATGTGGCTCAGTGTGAGGGTATAGTGTCCCCTACAGGTGAGGGAGCTCCAGAAATAAGGGGTGAGGCTCTTAGTCACCTCTCTCCTGGTCCTAGACACCTCCAAACTGCCTCTAACTTGAGCCCTGGGCAGGCGGAGAACTTCTAACTCAGGCTGGACGGCTAACCCCTCAGGTTCTCCCACCACAGCCAAGTAGCAGCTTGTCCTTTAGTTTGGACAGCGGCCGTTCTGGTGCATTCGGTCACTTCTCCCAGCGTGTCATCCATACCGCTTTGGGGTGAGGGCTGATTCATCATTTGAACACATTTTGGGCTTATGTGGCTGCCTTGATTCTGTGTGGGACGGGCATTTATGGATGGTAAAGGCTGGGAGCTCTCTCAGCCTTGCTTCTAAGGTCTGTCTCCTGGGGGCTCCCCAAGGAGCGTCGGAGTGGTTTGACCCAGCGTCATGTTCGTATCTGTGAACAGATGTGCTGCTCCCCTCTGCTCAGCCCCCCTCGGGGTACATGTTCGCTGGAACAGTCCCACAGTTGCTCTGATGATGTGCGGCAGGCTTCACCGGAAGTCATTCTAGCCATCCTCCTCTACCTCCCCCACATGCCGTGGAAGTGTCTCTGTGTTTAAAGATCTCTTGGGGAGGAGATTCCTGCATTCTGATTTCATTCACCTTTTCTGCCTCATCTGTCAGAAAACTCTTTGTATTTAACGAACCGCTGCCACCCCCACTCCTACCTCCCCTTTCTCCACACCTTCTTCAGTATGGGATCCTAATCTCTCTACCCTTCCTGGATGGTGAAACATGAAATACCACGTTGCTGCATCAGGGGCATTTGAGGGAGGAAGGGGCTGAGTGTAGCCAAGGCTCGTGTTGGCTTTCCCGGCAGCTACTACCACAGTGTTTACGACACTGCTGAGAACATTAATGTGAGCTACCCTGGACAGCAGAGCCCTGAAGAGGACCTGGACTTTGTGACAGACACTGCCAAGGTAGCACTGGCCCAGGCTGGGCGGGAGCAGGGGGACACAGTGCAGTGGTTAGAACGGTACTGTTTGGGGTTGGAAGAGGTGGGCCATTCAGCCTCCCTCCTCGCCTACCACAGGCCCTTGCAGATGTGGCCACGGTGCTGGGACGTGCGCTGTACCAGCTTGCAGGAGGAACCAACTTCAGGGACACTATTCAGGCCGATCCCCACACAGTAAGAGCACGTGGGCCCTGGCTCCTGCCTGTCCATCCGTGCAGCAGGCTGCCCCAGCCTTGTGTCCCTTGCCTGGCCTCCCACACCTGGGAATTCTGCAGGCCTGTCCGTGCCTGTCCGAGTCCCAATTGGGCCTCATGAGCCAGCCACTGTCCTCCCAACCCAGAGTCTATCTGGCCAGCCTGGTTTCTGTCTCATGACTTGACCTCCACTGCTCACTCTGTCCCTGGGCTCCATGTCACCGAGCTCTCTCTTCTCCCTGCCCCCTGCTAGGTTACCCGCCTGCTCTATGGCTTCCTGGTCAGAGCCAACAACTCGTGGTTCCAGTCGATCCTTCGGCAGGACCTGCGGTCCTACTTGGGTGAGCACCTGGTGTGGGAATGGGAACCAGCCTGGGAAAGGGAGAGAGAAAAAGCCATCATTTTGCTTTAATCTTGACTTTTTTTCTTCTTTTTCCTCTCTTCTCTCCCCTCCACCTTCCCTTGTCTCCCTTTCTTTCTGTTTCTCTTCTCTTCTCTGGCTCTGGCCAATCCTGGGCTCTTCCTGTCTCTGCCCATCTGCCCTGCACCTTCTGTCCACCAAATCCCCCTTCCCTGTGGCGTCCGACCAGGTGACCAGGGGCCTCTTCAGCATTACATCGCCGTCTCCAGCCCCACCAACACCACCTACGTTGTGCAGTATGCCTTGGCAAATTTGACTGGCAAGGTCGTCGACCTTACCCGAGAGCAGTGCCAGGATCCAAGTAAAGTTCCCAATGAAAACAAGGATGTGAGTGGTAGTGGTGTCGGAGGTGCCCCGAGGGTCCCTTTCCCTTGGGAAGTTGGAGGATCTCCTAGGCCCAACTGGACCCACGGGCTTGGGATGGAGAGGTGGAGGGATGCAGCCCTTTGAACGCGGGTGCTGAACGGGCAGTAGCCTAAGTGGAAAGGGCCATCTAAAGGGTGAAGGGAGGGCGTGAGAAAGGATCGCCTCAGCCCCTGCTCTGGCCTGTCTTCCTGCAGCTGTATGAGTACATGTGGGTTCAGGGCCCCCTGAACTCCAACGGGACAGAGCGGCTCCCCTATTGTGTGCGTTCCACGGCCCGACTGGTCAGGGCCGTGTCTCCTGCCTTCGAACTCGGGCAGTGGGGCTCCACTGAGTACTCTACCTGGACCGAGAGCCGCTGGAAAGACATCCGCGCCCGGATATTTCTCATAGCCAGCAAAGAGCTCGAGGTGAGATGGGAAGGGGTGGTGGCAGAGATCTGTGTGACCCCTTCATCTCCCGTTCGCCCAGATTTGCCACAAAACCTACTACGAATCTGTCCTTTGGCTGCTAGGATGCCCCATTAGGAAGCTTGTCTTCACTGAGAGGGTGAGTCTGTGTTCTTGCTGGAGCTGTGCTCTCAGGTCCAAGGAGACACTCCTAGCCCTGTGTCCCCAGGTAGTCCTTCCCAGGAGGAGGCAGTCGGTATTAACGAGTGCCTGAAACAAGTCAGTCAGGTATGTCATTGCCACAAGAGAATCAAAGTCATGGGCCCTGCCTTCAAGGTGCTTAAAGTCTACGTAACACAAGACAGAAGCAAGAACAAGGGACCTCACTGCTCTTTTAAAAAGGGGAGACTACGTCTCCAGCCTGCGGAGATGTTGCTCTGATTGTTCAGTACTTGGTGCCTAGAGCCAGCTCCAGGAATCCAATGTCCTGGCTCCCAGCCCCAAGCAATTACCCCAAACTGCACTGAGATCATCTGAGTGCATTGTCTCCCCTGCAGCTCATCACCCTGGCCGTGGGCTTTGGCGTCCTTGTCTGCTCTCTCGTCATCACCTACTGCATCAATGCCAAAGCTGATGTCCTCTTCATTGCTCCCCGGGAGCCGGGTTCTGTGTCTTTCTGAGGAGAACCCCAGCTTCTGCCAGCTCTGTGGTTCATTTCCTAGATCAGTTGTCCTGCTGGGACAGAAACCACTAGTGTGTCACTGGACCCTCCCTGAGCCTGGCTCAGGCTGGGATGAACATAAAGAAGTGGAACTTCGAGAAAGAGACAGACAGAAACACATCCTCCCTCCCCCCACCCTACCCCCAGCTCCCCTTCCAGTCTTCCCTTTCCCGTTTCTTCTTTCTCCCGCCAGATTCCGGGATGACAGACAGCAGCTTCTTGCTCCTGTTTAAGTCCTCGCCATCCACCCTAACTTACCCTTCTTCAGCATCCCTCCTCTACTCTGTCCACCCTGCCCTGGACCTCCCTCTACTCCCCACCCCACCTGTACCTCTCCACCTTCCTGGCCAGGAAGAATGGCAAGGGTTGAATGCCAGGAACAATACCAGGACGCCCTGAGGAGGAGGACGGGATCTGTGGGGCGGGTGTGCTGCGGGGTGGGCATCCCACCTCCAGCCCACAGTGCTCAGTTGTCATTTTTTTAAGCTGTAATGTCTGTTTTTGTTTTCTTTTCCTGTGTGTGTGTGTGTGTGTGTGTGTGTGTGTGTGTGTGTGTGGTGTATGTAAATATATAAATAATGGATTTCATTAAAATAGATTATCCACACGACCTGTTATGTGTCCCAGGCTCCCTTGTTCTGGGAATGGGAATGGGAATGGGAATGGGCCCTGGGTGTCACGCAGTTGCTACCATGTGCTCTCCCTGGGTCTGGGGTGCGAGGAGGGAGGCCCTGTCACCACCAGCTGGAGTCCTGGGGGCAGGGCTCCTTCCAGAGCCTGGTTCCGTCTCACGCGGACAGTGTTAGCAGAGTTTCTCCCCACCTTTGTATTTGACAAGCATTTCTTTTTTAAAGATATTTTTATTGATTTCAGAGAGGAAGGAAGAGGGAGAGAGAGAAACATCAGTGATGAGAGAGAATCATTGATTAGCTGCCTCTTGCACGCCCCCTACTGGGGATCAAGCCTGCAATTGGGCTTGTGCCCTGATCAGGGATCAAACCATAACCTCCTGGTTCATAGGTTGATGCTCAACCACTGAACCACACTGGTTAGGCTGACAGCCATTTCTCTATTCACTTTGGGATCCTGGAGGGTCCAGAGATGAAGGGAATACAGCCCTGGAGTAGCTCCCAGATGGGTGAGGGGAGAGACAGACACTCCCGACGAGGTGTGACCCAGAGTGCGGGGTGGACACAGTGGGGCCTGGGGCAGTGTGTGGCATTTAGGAAGGCTGCACAGAGGAGGAGCACGTGTGTGAGTTAGATTCGCCGCTGTGGAAGCAGAGCCAAGAGAAAACACCGGTCATACTCGGGAATGGTGAGCTACTCAGTGCCCAAGCCCCAAGGGTCAGCAGGAGCGGCTGGGCCAGGCAGAGAAGGCCCTTGGGTGGGCTGCCAGGGAGCAGGGCTTTCTGTTGACGGTGGGCATTTTGCAGATGAAAGCGAGTGGTTTGGGACTCTGGAGACACTAGTTCCCTGGATCTTCGTGTAGGCGGAATGCTGTGTGTGGCAGCACAGCCAAGTGATGGGCAGTGGCTGAGGCAGCCGGGGGGGAAGAGCTGGCAGGAGGGGCTGGAGCCAGCCTCCTCCCCTCACCAGGTCAAGAGGCTGTCTCCCACAGTGGGGGTGGGGGTGGAGGGGGGGCCTGCAGAGATGGAAAAGAGCTGGCCGTTTTCAGAATCCCAAACCCTCCTCTTCATTTCCTGACCGGGATGTTTACCTTTTCCAATCCCGCTGAGGGGAGGTGGTTTTTCTCCAAGTTCCCTCGGGTGTGTGGGGGGTTCTGGGCAGTGGAAATGCACGCTATTCCCCCACACACATACACACACACACACACTCACACACACGCACACACACACACACACTCCTCCCAGGCTGAGCTGGAGAAGCCGGGCTGCGCTGGCGGGGAGCTGAGCGCAGCTGCCGCTGCTTCTGGGCTGGCTCCGAACCTCCCTCAGCCAACAGGTTCCCAGCGGACAGCGCTGCTTCCTCTCCCTGCTGTGGCCTCAGGGAGCAGGGAAGTAATTGGGTACCAGTGAGGGGGCTGAGCAGAGGGCGGGCAGGAACGAAGGTACAAGCTGCAGGGCCTTCAGTATTCAGTCTCTGCCTCGGGAAGAATCCTCAACAAAGCTTCTGCCTGTCATGCTGTCCCACCTCCTCCCTCTCCCCTCCCCAAAAATACAGAACCAAAGGCTGGGTCGCTCTGTGGCTCTTGGGGAGCCCAGCTCCTTGGAAGGGGCACAGGCCCTCTGACCCACTGGGGCTGTCTTTCTGAGACTGGTCTGGCTCCTCACCAGGTACTTGTGACCTGGAGACCCCTTGGGACTGGCTGGCAGCATCTTCGGGCCATGGAGTTTCCTTCCCTTCCTGCTCCTTCCCACCGGTCGGTCACACTGCGCTTTCTCTTGCACCCACCCTCTGCTGAAAGCCAGGACCCAGCCTCTCTCTTGTGACTCCTTGTCCCTCAGCCCTGATGGCTTTCCTTCTGTTTCCCACGCCTTGCCCACTGCTCCTAAGGGCCCGTCCTGGGGGAGATTTTTCATCCAGAGTCTGGTGTTCTGCCCCGAGATCCTGCCTTATTCAATAGGACTTGGTTTCTTCCAGGGACAGTATAATAAGACCTTAGAAGTTACGTGCAGGGTCTAGCTTATTTGACCGCTGGGGGAACAGTGGCCCTGAGGAATGATGTGGCTTCTATCTGCACTGGCAGCCGTGGCAGTGATAAACTCAGAGCATGGCTGTGGGTGAGGCACTGCCCCAGCCTTGTAAAAGGGCATGGGAGAGGCCGCCTTCCCTCAGAGACCAGAGCCCTGAAGTCTAGATGGCAGGAAGGGACACGACGCAAGACGGAACCGCCAGTGGCAGCCGCACATGCTCCTGGCAAAGCGAAACCAGTGCTGTGAACAGTCCATGTGGCGTCCGGAGGATGGAGGCTTTGCTTTGGGTGGGGCCGGTCAGGGGGCGCTTTCGCAGTGGGCAGAGGCCAGGAGCAGCTTTTCCAGTTGCCCCGATGCCCTGTGACTCTGTTACGGGCCCTCCCTCTCTCCGGGCCCCAGGGCGCTCATCTATGCGGCTGGAGTCGGAGGTCTCTGAGGCCCGTCCCTCTGCTGGCGCTGATGTCTGCGTCTGTGTGGCCCCCCTTCCTCCCTTTCATCTTAAACTCCTCAGGGCAGGGCTGATTTGAAAGGCGGATAATTCATGCACTTGCGAAGGTATTGGGGTCCATCTAGAGAGGGAGGCCTGCGGCACTTACTGGCCTCCCACCCAGACCCAGTGGAAATGTGGGGCGACGGTGGCACGATGCACAGAGAACAGGCCTGTCACTCGCATCCCGTCTGCACAAGAAGCTTGGCCGGAGTTGCTGACAGTTGAGCTTGGGAAGCGGAGACCTTTGTAAGGTCCGGGTCTGAAAGGGCCTCGGGTCGGATGGGAGGGAGCGCCCACCGCCTGCGGGGAGTGGAGAAGAGAAGCCGTAGCCCATTCCCAGGCAGGGAAGCGAGCGGGAGCGCAGGGGGCATCTCAGGAGGCCCGAGAGGGTGATGCAACTGTGAATAAATGTTGCCAGCCTCTGGCCCAGGCTGGCTGGCTGCTCAGGGGCTGGGGGCTAGGACCCTAGAGTCCTCACTCTCCCTGCTCTCCCATCCACTGAGGGGAAATTAGAGAAACTAGAAGAAAGGAAGGCAAAACAGAGGTGGGGGTGGGGGGGGGGGAGACAAAGAAGTAATGGGGTACAGGAGGTGGGGACACCTAGTAGGGCTGAAGGAGGAGAGGGAGCCTGGGAGAGCTGGAGGGAACGGAGCCTGAGGGGAGAGAGGCCAGGTGGGTGTGGCTGGGAGGGGAGTGGGCCCTGAGCTGGTGGTGACAGATGGGTGGACACAAAGAAGAGAGCTTCAGGGAAGACAGATGGATGGGGGAGGGAAGCGGCTGGGGGGGGGGGGGGGGTGGCAGTGGTCGGAGGTCATAATAAGATGGGAGATGGGCTCTGAGCTGAGGAGAGGTGAGTGGAGAGGAAAGAAGAAAGGGGAGGCTGCCTTAAGAGACAAAGGCTTCAAGGCCAGGGGCTGGGGCGAGAGAGGGCTCAGGCTCGGGGCTGAGGTGGGGGCTTCCAGCCAGGCTGGCGGCGGAGACTGACAGATTGTGCAGTTAGCCAGAGTGGAGACCCGCTGTCACCTTCTAGAGGCCCAGGGAGGTGGAAGCAGAGGAAGACAGACGAGACCGAGTGGAAGCAGGCAAGGAGAGACCCTCAAAGATGCAAGAAGATTCAAGACTCGCAGCCGCTCCCAGGAACTCAAGTGCTTCTTCCTGCTCTCCTGTCCCCGTGACCTGAGCACAGCACCCCAGCCACTGGCCCCTGCCTGAGGGTCAGGCAGTGTGGCACAGCAAGGGTTAACGCTGTCTGCTCTCCTTGCCAGCGCTCGCCTGCTTGGGTCCCCAGGGCTCCCCACATATGTCACTGTCTCTCCTGCCAAACCCACTGCTTCCAAGCTCCTCGGCCCCCCCTCCCCCCCCCCGCCCACCCTCAAGGACCAGGCCTGGGCCCCAGGGTCTTCCCTACACACCAACCTTTCTTCCCAACAGCCTACCTTGAAGCCTGTGTGGAGATAAAAGGAGATTGTACTGCCCTGCAGAATGGTTAGAGCATCAGCCGAGCACCAAAGGATCGCGGGTTCAATTCCCCATCAAGGGCACGTACCTGAGTTGCATGTTCTATCCCCAGCCCCAGTTGGGGTGCGTGCAGGAGGCAACCAATCAATATGTCTCTCTCACATCCATGTTTCACTCCCTCTCTCACCCCCCTGCCCCCTTCCACCCTCTCTAAAATCAAGGAAAAGTATCCTTGGGTGATTTTAACAACAACAAAAGGTTGTGCTAAGCTAAAAAAGAACACCTACAAAATGCAAAATACCAATAACCATAGAGCCATCAGCACCATCTGCAGGCCCTGCTCCTGCCCTTACAGCAATGACCCCCACAGCGCCAGGGGGGGTGTCTCTTTCCCACTCAGCCATGGCTGCCGGCAACCTGAGCTGACCCCAGAGGCTCCCAGCCTCCCGCAATCATGCCCCATACACATGTGTGGGAAACCTCTTGCCACCTTCAGATCACTGTGCACAGGTGGAAAGGTTGGGCGAGCACGTCACAATTTACTGGCACTGCACATTACAACTTTCCCATGCGTTGTCTGAAAAGAGCCCTATGTGGAAAGCAACATCGTCCCCACTTCACAGATGACAAAAGTAGACTCAGTCAAGGTTAAATGACTTGCTCAAGGTCACCAGGACTTGGACCCAGGTTTACTGACCCCGAGTTTAATACAATTAGTGGTTCTTCCCACCACTCCATGCTTTATCACACACTTATGCTCTTCAGCTACTCCCTGAGGAGCAAACACTGAATCCCTGAGTGATGACTGTTGGGGGCCCCAGAGTCCAGGATCCTGAGATGACAGACACAGAGGAGTAGGGGTGAGAGCATGCTCAGACCCCCCTTTACCAGCAAACCTCCACTTGCACTGGGGAGAGCATGGGTTACTTATTTCAAGGCTGGAGGTTGCAGGGTCGAAGGATTGGAGCTAAAGGGCCTGAAAGAAAGGATCTGGTACAGGGATCTG